TTTATAGCTGACAGAGTTAGCGACGATGGTGATTGCTTATGTGAACCAATTAAATTTGTGATTCCAAAAAAATCATATTTAAATGAGAAAATCATAGCGTGAAGTTATGGATTTATCATTTTGTTAAATGGCTGCTTTCAACTTGCTTCTTTGTAAAACATAAATTAATTACTGAATATATTAGCTTTTATCTGTATACTTTATATTAATTAAACAATCTCTGAACATTGGAAGGAAAAACTGGCAATGACCATATTCATGGGGATATATTGTTTGCTTTGTGTCACATACATTTGTTTTTGTCTTAGGGCTCTATTAATAAAATATACACACACTGAATGTTTGGTTGATATTTGTCCATATGTATATTTCAGCATATGGCAATCAATTTAAAAGAGGATTCATTCTGTTCACCTACTACTTTCAAAGAGAATCTGTGCTGTTCACTATTTTCAGAGGATTTATAGTGTTCAAAGTGATTCACTTATTAGCATCTGAATACAATGTGATGGAGTAACAAGACTCCTTAATATTTTTTACACATTGTAATAATTGCCTGTCACATTTTAAAGTCAAACATGATGATTATTATTATTATTATATAGGGGAAATCCTCTTTGAAAATGAACTCAGTAAAAAACAGCCTGTGACATGTCCAACAATTATTTGCTGTGTGAATCGCACAATGATTCCTTTATAGATAAATCCCTAATACATTTCAAACTAATAATATGATTAAAGCAATGGCTTCTGTTCCTTTATGTAGTATACCATAGATGGTATATTTGTATCTGAGATACTATGCATTAGGCTTAATTATCAGAGCTAACACACCAGGTTATGTACCCTTATTTTCAAAATATTGACAGTTATTTTCAGTGCCAATTAGGTTTGAAAATTACATTCACATGGCTAAATTAGAGAGCCTTATATGTGAGTTAAAGCTTTGTGAATTGAGCATATTATAAGGGACATTTATCATGCAAATTAGCAGCAAATCAGACTTCTGTTAGTTATCAGAGTCTGTGCAAAAGGTTTTATGTATATTTGCAACCTTTACATCTGCTATCCTGGGCAGCTAAAATGAATTTACCACAGGAGAAGAGACACATTTTTACTCAAAATAGATGCAAAGTTAAAACATTGTCAGGGGCAGGTTTTATACTGAAGCAGTGCCACTTGAGAGTAGCAGAGGGAGGAACTTATTAACAAAGTTTCCTAATTTTCAACAATTTGTCTCAAGTCGGTCTAATTTTTGCTTTTTAACATGACCTGTTTGTGTGATAGAATTGATACATATCCCCCTTAATCTCCCTCCAACCTCTAAATTTGGGTTTCCTGGGTGTCTACAAATGTCTTCCAAATCTGACAATAATTTGCAGCAGAGGATGCTAAAATAACTCCTCTACATATGACTGGGCATTAGAATGTGAAATAAAGAGAACAGGAGTATATTCAAATTGCTGTTTGTAGTAAAGAATTGCTTACGTCCCACAAAACGTTTTGAGAGGCACTGTCCTGGAAAACTGTTTCATTCTTGGTAGGTTTGGCTATCCTGTTTAACATAAAGAGAGAAAGATCTCTGCCAGATTCATAATTATGTAGTAAGGGCAATCACATGGGATCCACAATAACAATAAACAGAGTTACCCAAGTTCTGTTACACAATTAATCCAATTCCAATCCTACTAACCACCTACTCAGAGAAAATGAATAAATAGCAAAATGAATAAATACTAAATTATTATAATTCCAATTTTTAATGGGGCAATAGGTACTTTTAACATTCCAGCATTACCAATGGATCTGAGATGCAGTTGGCACCAGGAGATCTTGAGAAAAAAGGCACAGTTATGATAACTAACAGAATTTGTCTTGCTGGCTGTATGAGAAGAAGATTTAGTTCCTCTTACCTAATATGAAGGTTGTATAGGGCCCATACCAGGCACAAAGGGTCCAACTACAGAACCATTAGCTTGGCTGGCAGCATTATCTATAGTGTTCGGGAGAAATTTCTATAAGATGATGTCCCATTGGCTAGAGACTGTGTTTCAAAATAAAGACAACATAATTCTGTATGTGAGTAAGACTGATCTGTGACACCATCAGTTCTACCCTAATACAGCTAGACTACAAGTTAGAAAGCAGTGCTCCTGCTAAAAGAATTTTAGAACTGAGCATCCAACTAGCTTGCTGCTCTTATCCCTTTTTTCTGGGTTAGCAAACAATAATATGAATAACTACTTTTATTTTTTGTTTTATGACCAGGCTCAGTTGAGTCTCATGTTTACCCATCAATAAACTTAGTGACATTTAGGGTATTATAGATAATGTTTGTTTTTATCTGTCCTACTTTACATCAAAGCACAGCACCGTATTATTATGTGTCATGTAATTTAGGCTGCTGTAGTATCTGAGACATACATGTACAATATCTAAAAATCTGTGGTCTTGGTGCTCAGTTTGCCATTTCTTGGTAACTCCGTTTCTGCAGCTTTTATTGGCACTGCACAGTAATATCCAGGAATTGATCCACAGACCTACTCTCCTTCCTATTTCTCAGTGGGTTCCTAATGTGCATCCCCGTAATAATATATTTTTATTGTTGATGGTACCGTGTGTCCTTACGTTTTTTAATTCTGTACATCTTTTTTTTGCAGAAATCTGAATGACCCCCCTTCTGAATGCTAAAATTAGTTCAGCTCTGAAGGTCTAATACAAATATGATTCATACAGTTTATTTAGAAGGATATGTTAGTGAGGCACTCTAATCATAAAGCGAATGAGTCACCATGAATGCTGTATCACATTAAAAAAGGACACTTTAAACAAGAAAATCTAAAGCTGAAATTCTCTCGGGCATCATGCAGAAAAGAACTAAAAGTGGAACTAAAGTCTCCATTTAAAAAAACTGTGAGCAAGCATGCTCTTTTTTGCAGAATAGACATGCAATATATCTCCTTTAATAAAAAAACACCTACCTGCCTGCTCGCACTCTTCTTTAGAATGTACACTGGACAGCACATGCAATTTCCATATCGGGCATATCCTGTGTACCGGATGGCTAGAATCCTGCACGTGGGCTGGGGTGATGTCATCCCTTGCTAGCCAATGAAGAATGCCGTCATCCCTTGCTTGCCAATGAAGACAGCCTCAACCCAGAGGAAGCCAGGTAGAAGTTATGGAAACTAGCAAAGGATCTTGGAACAATAAAGGAGAAGTATGAATTTGAGGGCTTTCTCTCTGATTTGAAGAAAACTCCATATAGGGCAAAGCAACAGGTTCACTTTAATAGAGGTCCTGCTATAAGCACTCAGTTAATTTCCTTTTGTTCCCCTGCTGTTCTACTGGAGCAAAGAAAGATATCTACCTCCCTCCTATGTGACAGCAGTGACTGTCCACTCAGGTACCGAAAGCAGTCACATGAGGGAGGGAAGAGAGTACTGTTTAAGCTCCAAGTTGCAGCTCAGAGCGTACATAAAGCTAACTTTCTTTTGCTCCCACCTGCCCAGTGAAATGCATGGGACTGAAGGGAGTATAAATATGTGCAGCTGATGGTGCTGCTGTTAAAATAAAACTGTTTTGTCCTACATTGGCAAAGCACAAGTTCAATATAAATGATCAGCAATAAATTGCAGTGCTTAGTTCCATGTCCATTGCTATTCAGATTCAGTAATATATTGCAATATTTTAAAGTAGCTTTCCTTCAATTTACTCCTATAGCAGTTAGCAAATTTTGATATTCCACTAGCAACACATGTTACGTTTAGCAGCATATCTAAAGACAAATTGATACGACTGATAGGACTTAGGATATATGCTAATATGCTTCATTATTGAGTACTGGTATTCATAAAGCTGATTCTTATAATGCAGGTTCGCAAAATCCTAATCCAGGGGTAACAGGTTTAGGCTAGCCAAAGATGATTTAAGTGGCAGGCCTTGCTGATGGTAAGCATACAATTCGCCCAAAGGATGGGGCACTGCGCACATGAATAATTCCTTCAGCCTATCAGTCAGTAAAGACGACCAATTTTAATCAGTTCCAAATCAAAAAAAGGTTTTCAGTTACACAAAACTGTGGCATCTCTGTATTATGTAGCCCCATACTAATCTTTAAGTGCATCCAATGTATTTGTATGCCCTTTTAATGCAAACAAAGCTGTTTAATCCAGTTATGTTTTCATTAAAGTGAGTGTAAAGGTTTTTTTTTTTTTACCTTAGTGCATTCTCTGCATTAACCTCCTTGGCGGTATGATTCTTTCCGATTTTTGGTGCTGAAAGCGGTACCATTTTTTTGCATGGAAATATGTATTTTTTTTATTTTAGGCCTGTAATTCTTAGGAATAACTCACTGAAATCTGTCCGAACAAGAGTCTAATAAACATCCCGGGTAGGATAAAATTTGAAACACGTAATCATAAATTATAATTTAATAAATAATCATAAAAAATAATAATATAATAATAATACATTTAATTCAATAATATAATCAAACCAAAAACACTGAAATTTGAAATATAGTGCCAAGTTCGCACAATGCTGAGCAAAGTCGCAAAATCGTTTTCAGTGTCTGATGAGGAATTTCCCCACGAATCATTATCACTCAATTCTGTAAGTGGTTCTGATTTACTATCGCTGTTCTCTAGCTGATCTAAACCGCTTTTGACCTAAAGGGACACTTTTTGGATGCATGGACATTTCTCAGTTTCCAGGCAGAAAGAACAGACAAAATGCAGGCAGGGCGCAGGACAAAGCATTAGGGACAAGATGTATGTGAAATCGGTTGAGACAGCAATGTTTTACTATGTAAAATGTAAAAAAAAAAAAAAAAGACATTTTTTAAAATTTTTAAATTTCCCGCCGCCAGCGGCGCCCGTACGTCCCGACGTCACAGGGACAGGACACAGAAGCCGGATGCCGGCATCGGCCGGAGGAGATGGCCGGGGACGCTGCAGGGGACACATCGCGGGAGCGCAGGGTAAGGTAAGTGAAGAACAAATGCTGGAGCAGTGCCGCATGGTATTCCCGAGTGTAGCTCGGGGTTACCGTTTGTGGTACTGAAATGTTACCCCGAGCTACACTCGGGAATACCGCCAAGGAGGCTACGAAAAAAAATATTTTATGTGCAGACCCCCCCCCCCCCCCCTGAGCCCAATCCTAATCCACCACTGTGTCCAAAAGCAGTGGTACTGCTCTTTATCTCTCTTTTCCTCCACACTGGACTCAGTGAGAGTCATTGGTTCCTGCTGTTGTCAATCAAATCCAGTGACAAAGGAGTGGGGGAGGGGCTGGGCCGCATTGTGTGTGTCAATTGATGCGGCTCAGGATTGGGCCCGCATGAGTGCTTGCATAGCAAGTGGCTTGCTATGGGGGTACTCGGAAGGCAGGAGGAGCCATGAAAGAAGGTGGGGGACCCTAGAAGAGGAGGATCAGGGCTATTTTGTACAAAACCATTGCACAAATCAGGTAAGTATAACATGTTTGTTTCTTAAAAAAATAAAAAAAGAACCTTTACAATCACTTTAAAACCAGTAATTTATTTTATGTACACATTGGGCATTTATCTCTCTCCTGTAATCCTCTGTACAGCCAGGTTAAAATTGGCAGTGGGAGGAGCAGCTCTTTGAGACATTTATGGTTCAGTGGTGTGTCAGTCCAACACTAATCATGCTTACAGGAGAGCAGAACACAGTGGAGACTTTATCAATTCACTGCTGCTCCTCTATTGTCCTATCAGAAGGCTAGGTGAGTATCATTATGATGACAAAGGAAGGATGTGTGGCCACTGTAAGACTTAGGTAAGACATATATGCAGACCATATTATCATGAAATGATAATTTTTGCTTGAAGTTCCACTTAAAGCAAAATATTTTGAAGTGCCTTGTGCTTGAGGCTATCCCATTCCTCTCCAGGCTGGAAAATAGCAAGAATGGGTCATCCTTACAAAATGTGAACCATACTTTAAAGCATGTCACCTAGCTCATGTCTAGATGCTCATTTAGCCTGCTTAAATTATTAATATAAATGTAGATTTATTTTATTGGATCATTGAATCTGTTGGTTTGGGCTGATATTAATATGATATTGATGGATTTGTTTACTTTTTGTACTAGAATAAAAATTCTCCATGCTCGTGGAAACTATGTTCTTAAATACCCCCAATCCAGCCGGTATCATTAATGTGACAAGGAAATGAGAACAAATGAGCATCGTAGCAAGGATAGTAAACACTGTGTCTAAATGCAGACTGGGGATGTCTTCCATTGAAGATGACATTTTGTAGCTGGAATATATTGCTGGTAAGTATATCTGTGCCTAGGAGAATGAATTAACGGACTGTAATAACTTGACTTTTGCTGAAAATTTTTTTCTAATGAAATAAAAGTGTTGCAACCAGATTGCCTTTTTGTATATTTCTGTTTGTGACATTTTCATAATATGGCAAGGTTGGCAGGCTTAACTTCTCACTTTTCACCGAAGTGGAAGAACGGTCATAGTCTAGGGAGAGCTAAATGGACAGACTATGAATGACTAGAATTTGGAAGAAAAACAGAGACAAACAAGTAAACGATGATTTATAATGTCACTGCTGGCACATTGTGTACCCATCACTCATCAAATTGGCACGGAAGGCGTCTGCAGAACAGAATTATTCACATTTGATATAGATTTTTTTTCACAACTATTGGGAAAACCAGTTGTGCCTGTCTCCTAGGATGCATATGATTTATTATTATTCATTAACTCCTTCAGGACTGGAGTTTATTTGGAGGCTATGGAGGGTTTCTGCCACTCACAGAATAGCAGCACTGTTTTCTCTTTCTGTCTTAGTAAGACCCTATATACAGATATCAATAGAGGAGATCTTTATGACAAAGCAGAGTTTCTCCAAGCATTTATTGTAAAGTAGAATCTAGCCGAAAAATGAATATCTCTTTAAAAACTGCTTCTGTTGTAATATGCAGCTTCAGGTCCAGAGATTTCCCTGCAGTGCTTTTGCTTTCGGTTACTAGATATTGTCAATCTGATGGCCTTTATTATTTAACCTACTTCCTCTGAGCTCCAGTCATTCTGGACTAGTTTATGCCTGTGACTGAACATTGAAAGGAGAAGCAGCACAGTGTTGAATTTGTCTCTCTTTCACTTTGTTCTCTTCTCCTACAAATATATTTCCTGTTAGTACATCACCTGATTGACTCCGTGGGCTGCTCCATGTCTGTGTCACATACCTGGTAGGAGACTGTAATAATGAGGCTGGCCTCTTTTGCAACTCCAGCCCAGGCCCCACTGAAGGTGGAATGGGCGGTGCCAAGGGACAGGAGGAACACAAGTGCCGGCAGGTGTTGATAGCAGAACCTATAGCAAGAGATGCAGGCTAGAGAGGTCCAGCAGGACATCAGGCCAGGAGCAAATGTGATGCAAGCTGGACCAGGTGAAGTTAAAGGGGCACTGTGCATGTAACACAGACTCTGGATGCGTGGCATGTCGGAGCTCTCAGCAGTCTTTAGGCAGGAACACACTGTGATGACTGGAGGTGATGTAAAGGTCAGCCAAAGCAAGCACTCAGTAGTATGAGGCCAAGTCTGAGACAAGAGAGAGGTCACAGAGGCAGCCAAAGTCAGTAGCAGATAGGCAACAAGGTACAGAAGCATAGGCAGATGCAAGGTTAGGAACAGGCAGGCAGAGGTAGTCAGGTCATCAATGAAAATCGGATACAGGATATACTCAGGACACAGAAAAACCCCGAAGGCCAGTCAACACTGACAGTGACAAGAGCATCCTTTAAACGGCCCGTCTAGTGCCAATAGGTACTGTGGACACATTCCCGTGTGCACGCATTCCTGTGCACATGTCTATGTTCATTCTATGAGCAATGCCATGCACATGTGCATGTCTATGTTCCAGTTACCTTACTGGAATTCCTTTAAATTCTGTTATACAGAGATTGCAAGAGGCTGATACCAGCTCAAACCTGGTTGCATTTAAAAATACAATTAATGATGTATTGATGAATACAGAGCTGCATTAATATTAGTGATCACTGTGAAGTACAAGCAGATATAAAAGACTAACAGAGTCTCAATGTGTTTGGCTTCTGTTCTGTTCTCTTTCGTTTGGAATAACCTAGTCACCTTGGCTGAATGTATAACTTCTGCCCCACTTTTCTACCTTGTCACCCAAGAACAAAAGTTTCTTGAGCAAGGATATTCACGGAAGAATCATCAGACATTATGGAGATATGATTCATGAAAACTTAAAATTTAAAACCACTGTTGAAGTTACATTAAAGCTTATTTTATTGAATGTATAAATATTGTTAAGCAATTGTTCAGTATTATTTCAGCAGTACAGAAAGTGAAGGGGAATGGGGACATAGAGAGCAATAAAAACCTGACAGGGGCTTTATGCCAACTTTTGCTGAAGTTGGACTTTAAAACTTATCTACCCCCCCCCCCCCCCCCCCCAAAAAAAAAGCTATTTTCACCTGATAACCCTGGATATCACACACCATGTCTTAGAGAGACTCATTCCATATCCTATCTACAGAGGCAGCTATAGCTGTCATCCAGGCTAGACATTAAACACATCTGCCTTTGTTCATTTCTCCTACATGCAGAATGACTGGATTAGTGGTTTACACAAAAAGCCAACATTTTTTATTTCTGTCAACTCACAGAAAATGACAAGACAAGGACAAGATCTGGCAAGATCAACAGGTATTATCTTTACTTGCTGAAAATGTTCTTAGCCTGAAAAATGTAAACTAATACAGGCACCCCCTCTAAAGACTGGTAATCTATAATATATTGTTTTTTGTATTGGGATTTGTGGGCAGTGTTCTCCTTTTCTGCTGTACCAGTCACTATTCTCCTGTTTGTTTCTCAGGTTAATCTGGGTGGCTGTGTCAGTAAAATCTCTTTGGGGCTTGCTTCCATCTATGAGTGGGGGTTTAAATGACTCAGCAAACCAAGTATTAGGGGAAAAAAAGAGTCCTTAGCACAGACAAGAAGGGGTTTATTTACTAAAGCTGGAGAGTCCAAAATCAGACTCCCTTCTGCATAGAAACCAATCAGCTTCTAACCTCAGCTTGTTCAATGAAGCTTTGGCAATGAAACCTGGAAGCTGATTGGTTTCTATGCAGAAAGGAGTCTGATTTTGGACTCTCCAGCTTTAGTAAATAAACCCTGAAGTGTCTGTAGCTATGGGCTTTAATTGCCATTTTGGATGAGCCTGTGTCCTAATGGAATATAGTGTTCTTGTAAAGATTTGCTCCTGATTATGGATGTTAGGAATAGTAAGTGCATCACTGCGACTGTGCCTGTAATCAGGGCAAGTGTAGTTAGGGAGAGGAACACATTTTTTTTAAAGACTGATTAGGACCTCTTTAGCTGTGCTGAAAGTTCATTAAAAAGATATCCCTCTCTGGACTAGACACCTGAGCATCCCCAAGTACTTTTTGGAATCTGTTTTTTGTTTACAAACAATTAAAAAAAAAAAAATAAACTGTAGAGTGACATTACAGCGTCAAATAGTATGTAAAGCAGAAACAAGGCACCACTGAAATGTACATTGCAAAAAGTACAATCATGTACAGCAAAGAAGAAGAGCGGAAAAGAGAGAGAAAAGAACTTAAGTACATGAATAATATAAGTATAAATATAGGTAGAGTTATACAACTAACAACAGAGCATCTATCAATCCAAACATGAGTTTTCCCTAATCGTGTAGTAAATGTCTGAGTTCTCCACAATTCCCATTTTCTATCGAATAAGTACATCTTGTCGAGTAAAGTATAATGAATTCTTTCCATGAGCATCACAGCATCAACCCTGTACAGAACAGAGGCCAATTGTACTATAGGAGATTTCCAATGTTGGGCAATAGCCCACAAGGTGGATATACAAATGGTGTGGATCAGCCTCATAACCTCAACCTGAACTCCTGAAATAGGAGCTCCCAGTAGGCAGGACTGCACAGTCAGATACACAGGGACACCCACCAGCACAG